CCTTAACCGGGTCCAACCCATCTCCTGCACTTCCTCCCTAACCCCTTATCTTCCCTCCTGCAACAGCGATAGGGTTCCCCTTGTCCTTGCCTACCATCCCACCAGCATCCACATCCAGAAGATCATCAGACGCCATTTCCACCTGGTCCACTCTTCCTTCACTACCAACAACCCCCACAACCTCATGCACCTTCCCCTGTAACCGGCAAAGGTGCAACACCTGCCCATTTACCTCCTCCCTCACCAGTATCCAAGGACCCAAACATACCTTCCAGGTGAAGCAACAGTTCACCTGCATTTCCCAGAATCTAATCTACTGCATTTGCTGCTGACAATCTGATCTCCTCTACATTGGGGAAATGAAGCGTAGACCGGGTGACCACTTGGCAGAACATCTATGTCTGCTTTTAAAAAAGACCCTGAGCTTCCAATTGCCTGCCACTTTAACACACCACCCTGTTCCCTGGCCAACATCTGTGTCTCTGGCTTGTTGCAGTGTTCCAGCAAAGCTCAACGCAAGCTGGAAGAACAACTCCTCATTTTTTGCTTGGGAACCCTGCAGCCCTCTGGATTCAATATCAAGTTAATAATTTTAGAGCCTAAATTCCATCGCATCTTAGCCCCATACCCCATACACCAGGCCTTGTTATCACATAGCCTGCCATTACATACCACCTATTGTTGGTCACTAAGTCCCCATTAACAGCTATTCAACTCCTCGTTGATCATTATCAACTCCTTTGTCTATCTAACTGCTCTTCGGGCTCTATCATTTACTCCCTCCCCAGTCCCCCTCCCTATTTTCTGCATATAAACAGATGATTTCCCAGCTACCATCAGTTCTGAGGAAGGGTCACTGGACCCAAAATATTAATGCTTGGCTATGTTTTGTATTTTTCACATTGTTAATATAAAACACTCTAGAATGCAATTTCCTATGGCATATCAAACACCAGTAGAAAACGATTATGAAAGAGAGAACTCCAGGATTGTATTCAAGTCTACTCCTTTGAGATAGGTTTTTGTAACTTTTAGCTTTTCTTCAGAATTCTACTTTCCAAGAGTGCTATCTTGAAAATAGTTTGCAGCCCACTTCTTGGGCCAGGATTGGCATACTGAAAGCCTCAATAATGGGAAAGAAAAGAAACTAACTTACATGAGGTCCTTGATCTCTGTTCCAGTGCGTTAGTTGAGTCCAGTTGAGATCGAGAATCAGATTTGTCATGTGCTCTCCCAGACCAGAGATGTACTTTGAAGCCAGGGAGGTGGAGATCTGCAGAAACTGATCAGCATAAAACAATGGCCCTACTGTTGTGTTCAGGCTGTTAAAAAATGCAGAATAAAATTACTGAAAAGTGGTGAAAAACAGAATATAACTCATGAGTATGTTATACGGAATTGTTTTTATACAAAGTTTCATGTGTCTATGTGTTACAATTATTAAGCACATATATAATGATGGAAACAACTGGGGTCTCTAGACTGGTTTACCTCAGTTTAAACTGCTAAAGTATTACATTTTTGCACATCTCCGTTAATGGTTTCTGATTATGTTGTAAATATAGACAGATGATCTCAGGTTAAACTTACACCTCAAGGGCTCTTAAGAATTTTTTAAAAAACATGCATTTTCTTGATTTTTTTTACACTACACACAATCCCCTTTTTAACACTTTATACTTGTGCTTGTGTGTTTGATGTGGCTTTCACTCGTTAGCTTGAGGTTAGTAAGCCATTTTGAAAAAATGTTATTTCACCCAAGAAAACCTTGTAATTGGTTCCTTCAACTTTGAACCAGAAAACTGCATTTTAAATAAAGTGTGACATAACTGTGTACTAAAAGTTAAAAATCTTTGTTGCATGTGACCAAAGATGTTAAAGAGGAGAGCGGATTCACACATCTTCCTTTGTCATAACTTAATGAAATCATAGCATAATACCCTTATATCACTTATCTGCAACATTGTAAAGAGTGAGTAAATACTCTTTGATCGTTATTATTACGATCTTACTCCCACATTTCATCATCCTGCAGTAATCAACAGATTAGTTGCAAAACTAAACAGATCATGTCAGATAAATGCAGTACAGTAAACTTACAAATGAAAATGACCATGCTCAAAATATACTTAAATGTCAGCCTGAATTTTGCTTTGATAATGAAGAAACTACCAGTATTCCACTGAACGGACACAGAAATCAAGAGGTTGGTGCTAATGAGTATATTCCTGTGTAAAGCATACCATTGAAAATTGAACAGTCTGTTAGTTCACCTGCAGTCATGACTTGTTGAGAACTTCCACTCTAATGCTTATAGTCTTTGTCTACAAGTGCTGGGAAAAGCTACATCTTGTTGAGGGATGCATAGAGGAGTTTTACAACAGTATATGAACTACAGAATAACTGCCTGACACCCTTACCAGCTTTGAAAAGTTAATTCATATTTGCAGATTGTCAAGTTTCACACAATAATTAAGAATTACACACTTTTTTTTTTAAATTTTCTTCAAAGTCTGTTAATACTTGGGCCTCCCGAGCTTGCTCCACCATTCAATAAGATCATGGCCAATCTAATTCCCACCTACCTTTCACTCTCTTGTTTATTAAGAATCTATCTCTGCCTTAAAAATATTCAAGGACTTTGCTTCTGCTTATTATTTTAGCTTCTACCTAAATGCAGTTATTCAATTCACTATCTGAACATTTCAATAAAAAGAAAATGAAGGGTTTTAATTGCTTTTAATTTCCTGGCTGCTATGTGAATACTTCAGTTTTATTCACTAGCCACTGCTTACTGACATCACTGCTGCTGCATGTCAAATGATCCCTTTGATTTAAAACGCACAGGACAAGGGGCATTTCCACCACAGAACTCTCAAGACTTGTGTGGGCAATTTCCTTCAAGTTCTGTGCTGAGGACCTTCTCTCATGAGAAATTCAAGCTGTCAAGTCTTGCTTAAAAGTAAACTTTTTTACTATATATCTACCGTCTTCCCTCATCAACTTAAAACTCTAATGCTTTCTTTCTGCCAAAGTAATTAGCTTATCAAGTTTAAATTGATTTTGAAAATCTGATTATCTTACAGAATATTAGTTCAAACTACATTTATTGACAAGGCACACTGGTATTTTGAGATGCAGAATGTGGCCAACAGCAGGAATTTGATTATCACACTGGATGAGGTTACCATGAAGGATCCTCGTTCTCAACTTCTCCCTTCACCTGTGGCGTGATGACCCTCAGGTTAAACCACCTCCAGTCATGTTTCTTTAATGAGAAAAAAGTCCTATGACACTGCGGCGACTTCATCTTTCATTTACAAGGCTTTCATCTATAATCCAAATTGCCATTGTTGATGTTCTCTGTAGCTCCTCCTAACTGATTTTTTTTAAAATTGCAGTTGGGGGAACAATGGATCATAAAGAAATCCAATTTCCTAACATTTGCAATACCAATATCATCAGCAGTCTCTCAGAGAAGCAATGATCTTTTGTTGGCTATTAAAACATTGTTTACAATGATGGAGATAGATGTATTGCTTTGACGTATCACAACTTAAAAAACAGTATGACAACACAAAGTCATCACCAACTACAATGCAAGTCCTAAGTGAAAATAGAATCATTGGAGAATTATTACAAGTACAATAGATACAACAGAATCGTTATTATGCTACTGAACTAATGATCCAGTGTTGGACTGATAATCCAGAGAAAGTGAGCATTAACTTCACGATAGCAAGTTTCAGAATTGGAATTCAGTTTGAATGAATAAATCTGGAACAAACAACATGTATGTCTGCTGCTGTAGGATTGCCATGTAGAGCAAACTGGCTCACTAACACCTTTAGAAAATGCAATCTGCTCTCCTTACCACTGTTCTCTGATGTGCCAAGCAAGTGATCCAACTAATTTGATTAAATTCACATGATATCAAAGAAATCATCAATCACATTAAGGGCTATGGAACTCAAAATGCTAACTACAATATCAAAGGCATGTAAAGTAGCTCTGCTCCTGGACAAATTGTTCCAATGCAATTACAACACTATTATATACTGCCCATATATCACTCTACTTATAATTGTCTGAGCAATAGAAGAACTCATCGATAATGCTAGGAACACTTACCATTAACCTGCTGCCCAATGCTTCTGGTCTGTCCAAACCTTTTATACTTTTTGAATGAAGCATAAATTTCACAAATGAGGCTTCTATAGAAATAAATAGAAGTGCTAATCACACTTACAGAACCAGACCATTTGATTTCCTCTGTACAATGATGCCAAAGGGTCTGGATGAAAATCTAACAGTGTAGAGTTGTGTTGAAGCTTTCTCAGTGATGTTAGGAACATCAATAGGAACCTCATACCGTTTACTTCTTGGATCCTTAAGCTGCAAGCCAAAAACATAAGGTTTATTGAAGACAGACAGTAACTCCCAAATATATTTACTTTAAGTATAACTGGTGTTATTACTGATCCTGTATTCCTTTGTTACCAATTGATCAGGCTGTTTTAACCAACTATGTAAAATTTTACAATTCAGTCAGTCAGTCTTGGAAAATATGACAGTTGCTGATCAGTTTTATTGTTAATGTCAAATTTTAAAAAAACTTTAAGCTTTCTATTCCAACTCTAATGATTAGAAAATGTGCAACCATTTACAGGGAACAGCCTTCATTTATAATAACACTTCAAAATAAAGCATCTGAAAGTAATTCACAGGAACATTATAAAATCAAGTAGAACATGGATCCAGAAAACAAAATTGTATCTAAATATATTTTTATTTACAGGTTGCACATTCTCCTTGTGTCTGTGTGAGTCCCCTCTGGGTGCTCCGGTTTCCACCTACAGTCCAAAGATGGCAGGTTAGGTGGATTGGTTGTGCTAAATTGCCCAATGTCCAGGGATGTGTAGATTAAGTGGATTAGCCATGCGAAATGCAGGGTTCTAGGGTAGGGGGTGGGTCTCGGTGGGATGCTCTCCAGGGGATAGGTATGGACTTGACTGACTGACTGAACGGTCTGCTTCAATAGTGTTGGGATTCTATGAAAATCAAGACTTTGTTTGGCCAAGAGCAATGTTGGTCAATGAGTACAGACATGGGTGATAAGAAATGGAACTTGGTACAATTTAAGAGGCTAACACTGGAGTTTTGGTAAACCTTAAGTTTTGAGGGTAGGAAGTGGGAGATCAGACATTTGAATGCACTCGTCAAGTCTAGAAGAAACAAATGCATGAATAAAGGTTGCAGAAAATGATGTGGGAAAGGCGCAAAAATATGTGAAAATAGGCAGTCTTCGTGATGGCACAAAAATAAGATTGGAGCTCATTTAAGTGTCAACTGCACAACAAAATTCAAGCAAACTGGCTTAATTTTAGACGATTGCCAAGGAGAGGGATGAAGTCAGTAGTTATGAAATTGTTTGGATGAGGGACCTAAAATAATGCTTTCAGTCTTCCCAACGTTTGATTGAAGGAAATGCCTGTTTATCCAGTACTGGATACCAGAGGAGTTCAGAGATCTCAGTGATGTAAAGTCAGGTGTTAAGGTACATCAGAAAAGTATTGGATGTCCTTTCAGATTTCACAAAGGGTCAACATGTAGACACAAAAGATGAGGTGGAGGAGGGGGGGGTTCAAGGACAGCTTCAAAGAGAACACAAGAGGTAATAATGCAGAACAAGGAAGATAAGTCATTGCAAGTGACTTGCTGCTTCCAAAAAAAATAAAACCAGGTGACAGTAGCCCTACTCAGCTGGATAACTTTGCAGAGGTGCTGCAAGAAGATGATATAGTCAACTGTGTCAAGACTGCAGACAAGTTGAGTTGGAAAAGGGGGAGAAAATTTATCAGCACAATTAATCCATCGTCTTTCTATCAATGACATAGAATTTTTACAGATACTTCTGAAAATTGAAGTCAAAGTTTCAGCTTCTATTAAACAAAAAGTAATAAGAATTATCCATTAATCCACATTCATCAGTTTTGACAAATAACAACGTTTGTAAAAGGGCAAACATAGGCCAAAAAAAGGGATAAGTTTATAATTTATTTTAAAAACGTAGTTGCTGATAAAATGTGCTCTTTTTGGGTGGATGATGCCTGGTCAATTTTAACCTTAGGCTCTCCAAGTATAGCTGTGGAAAGAAACTACCAGAAACATGGGCGATTCACAAGTTTGCAAGTATCGCAAGCTATTATAACTGGGGATGACACCTAATAAACAGAAATGCTGAAATTTGTTCCAAGTTCAAACAAAATTTAAACCTATTTTATTTGTATTACTTTAATATACTTTAGCTGTGAAGATCAAATATTTTCAATACCACTTTCAATATTAATTGGAAATTTACTGAGATTAATAATGGCTATACCAGCACTTATCACATTGACAGTTTGGAGCCTGCTTTATGATCCCAAAATTAGCTTTTCAATTACCATTACTTACAGTAAAATGAAGTCTGCCAGATGTCTCATACATCACATTCAATTGAAGCGTCATTATGTCATTCGGAAACAATGTCTTCTTGCTGCGACTCAGTGAGGCTGTGTAGCCAGTACTGGTTGGGGAAAGGTAATCTATGTGGTAAGAAGGATAATTTGATGGCAAGAAACAGTGTGGGGAACCAGCATTGGCTGCTGGATTCCAACAGCAGCCACGAGCCTGACATTTCATCATGTCAACCACTTCATTGAAAGCACAATCGAACCTACTATTCAGATCAATATCACACTGAGAGTCACTGCGATGACTGATATTCAATGATAGATTGTTCAGTATTTCTGAAGTCTTTGTTCTGTTTTTATCATGTGGATATTGCCACAATAAATCTAATTTAGACATTCCCATGTTAACACGCTTAAAAATCACTGGAGACTCCAGAGTATAATAACTGTGATACGTAATTACAACAACTAAAATGACACCAAGAAAGATTGTTCCATTTTTAATAACATTAATTGCAAGCATTCTTGGTTTAGTCACAGTTGGAAACTCGGCTAGCTCCTTTCTTTTGCTTCCTGGAGGGAGAGCACATTTTTCTGCTTCATAATGTTGTGGGAACATGATGACGAGGCAGTTGATCTTGAAGTTGTGGTTCACTTTGTCTACCTAAAGAATAGAGTTGACACGTTTGAAATAAAAAGTTAGTGATCAAAACAGGGAACAATGTTTTCTAGTCTTACATCATAATATTAACAAACAAGGTACTTCACAATGGAATGGGATGTTCACAGAATGAAGTTGCTGATTTTGTTAGGTCATTTATATCTTTGGAGATCAGAAGCTAAATTAAGTAGAGGGCAAAGTTGTCTAGGGGTGCAGAAACAAAGAGCTAAACTTAGCAAAGCAAGTTGTTAAGCCTAAATTTCTAGAGTTCATTCCTAGGGAAATAAAATATGAAGTTTATGCAGTGCTGTTAAGTTTATATTGAACTTAAGTTAGCCTACACTTTGGAGAACAGAGCTGCACATAATGGTCCCAAGTATTAGAAAGATTATTGAAGTACAAGAGAATTTGCACAAAAGATATACAAGGATGTTATCAAAATTAAGATGATGCAGTGATCAGGAAAAATGCAAGCTGCAGCTTGTTTCTCTGCAGAATCTCCAAATTTAAGGATGTGAAAAGCTACTATCACTTGTGGGCCCGACCTAAACAACAGGGCATAAATACAAGCTAACAACTAATCAAATAAATTTCAGAAAAATACCAAAGAGTGAGTATAATGCATAACTCACTATCACCTAAAGTGGATTAACAGGAAGCTTGCTCTCTACATGAACAGAAACAGAGATATGGGGAAGCCTAAGAAAATGAAACTCGAGTGAGAGAGCTAGAGTTCCATACTGTAAGAGTACAGAACAGATGAGCCAAATGGCCTCCTTCTGTGGTGTGAACTTTATGCAAGTGTGGTCAACTTTCTTCAGATGATTAACTGTATACAATTACTGCAACATTTTGAACAGATCACTAACTTCATATTAAAATTTATGGAATCCACAACTCCACTTTAGCCATCTAATTACCATTTCCTAAATCAGTTTCATTAATGTCAGCTTTGTTGCATACTTGCTTCTGAATTAAAAGATCTGGCTTCAGTTTAGCGATAGTAGGAACTGCAGATGCTGGAGAATCCGAGACAACAAGGTGCAGGGCTGGATGAACACAGCAGCTGCTCCTATGATGCTGCTTGACCTGCTGTGTTCATCCAGCCCTGCACCTTGTTGTCTTGGCTTCAGTTTAGCCCTGATCTGACCATATAATCCAGGTTGATACCTCAGTGAAGAATTGCAGGAATGCTGCATTGTTAGGGTGGCTCAGTGGTTAGCACTGCTGCCACACAGGTCCAGCAACCCGGGTTTGATTCCACCCTCGGGTGACTGTCTGTGTGGAGTTTGTACATTCTCCCTGTGTCTGCGTGGGTATGCTCTGGTTTCCTTCCACAGTCCAAAGATGTGCAAGCTGGGTGGGTTGGCTATGCTAAATTGCCCATAGTGTTCAGGGATGTGTAGATTAGGTGGGATGCTCTCAGGTTTGGTGTGGACTTGTTGGGCTGAAGGGTCTGTTTCCACACTATGATAAGTTTAGACAGTATATTTTGTTTAGATGTTAAATTAAAAGGTAATCTCCACTTGGTCAAATACCATGTTAAAGATCCCATAGTACTAATGAAGAAAGATTAAGTAGATTCCCTGGGATTATCAACATTTATTTGCCAACAAATACCGTAAGAGAAAAACTTATTCTGTTGTTTACCGATTGTGTGTTTGTGCATTAGCCACCTATTGATAACACAGAAAAGTGAGCTAGGCTATTCTGACAAAGGAAACAAAAAAAAACTTAGACTTGTGTAGCATTAATTTGAAACATTGTTTTGATACACTTGTATTTACTATCATCATCCTTACATCCTGATCACTCTGGGCAGTGTAGCCTGCAGAGGTCTTTCTGCTCCAAAATCAAGTCAAATAACATTCTTAACGTTAACTCAAGGCTCACGCAATAAAATACCCATTTGGTGATGTACTGCCATTTTTAAGCATGCCCCAGCTACAGGTTACACAATTACTTTAAAGACCTATACTGAAAAGATGCAGTTAGCAAGTATGTTACCCCATTTACACAGAATGTCAACAACGGACCTCTTCTAATGACAGATCCAAAACACCAAATGTCTTTAACATTAAAATCTAACAACATGAAACGAGAGGTGAGAGTGCTTACTCTCCTAAAACTAAATGTTGAGACAGTTGTTGGTAAATGGGAAGAAGGCTGTGGTGAAAGGCGGTGCTGACAG